TGGCGGGAGGGGCCTGTCCGGCCCTCCCCCCCCAGCCACTGCACCATAATAGCAGCCTGCAAACACAGCTGCAGCCCAGCTGGGTCAGGAAAAGGTTATTTCTTGCTGGAGACAAACAGAAAATAGCATGGTTGGTGCCAGAGTAGTCCTGGGACCTTGCTGCCTGCCAAAATGGAGGACTCGGGGCTCCTCTGAGCTGTCCTGGGCTGGCTCTGCGCCTCGTGAAGCCCCCAGCAGAGTTTGCAGGGTCCCGGTCCTCCCGTGCTCCGTCTGCCTGTGCAGCTCGGCTGGTTCTCGGCTGCTTCCCCCTCCCTGCCTCGTCCCATCCCCGGCTGTGCTGCTCCCCAGCATGACCCCAAGCCCCCAGACCATCCCAGCTGTGTGCCTGCAGCACAGATGCCCCCTTGCTTCAGCCATCCTGGCATCTACCCACCATTCGGGGACCAAGGTGGCACTGGGGGCACAGCTCGGAGTCTGGGGCACGTCTGTGGGGTCCTGCCCAAAACAGAGCTCCCAGGCCTTCCCGGGGGCAAGAAGATGCCCATTCCCCCAGCCTCCCCTGGGTCATGGGAAAAGGGGGGACCTGCATCCAGGGGGTCTGCGTCTGCCCCCAGAGTGGTACTTATGTGGGGGGACAAAGAGTTTCCCTGGGCTTGTATCCCCCTTCCCATCCATCCCAGCCCCACACGGGGCTTTCCTCACCCCAGGGCTAACCGAAATCCCCCCTCTTGCAGTTCAGAGGCGGCCCCCAGAAATACGAAGTGACGGGCTGGCTCCAGATCCAGGGCGTGCGGGTGACGGACGAAGGCACCTACCGCTGCTTTGCCAGGAACAGGGTCGGGGAGGTGGTGGCATTAGCCAGCCTCACTGTCTTCACGCCGGGTGAGCACCACGTCCTTGTCCCAACGCTCTCACGGGGACGAGGGAGGGGATGTTTGGGCAGGGTGCTCTGGTATGGTGGATAGGGCTGTGCTGGGTTTGGCTTTGGTCCTGGTGGGGAAGGGGACAGGCACTGGAGGGGACAATATCACATCGTCCCTGCGTTGCTGTTTCAGACCAGCTCAACCTGACGGGCTTTTCCCTGCCGAAGCCCCGCACGACGCCCGAGGACTACGGGGAGAGTGAGGAGGACTATTACTAGCCTGGAGACGGGATGTCCGGCTGCAGAGATCACCTTGCCCATGGTGGCCATTCCCGGGGGTCAGGGACATGTCCGGAGCAAGCACCCCTCAGCCCAAAACTCCTTCTCTGGACAGTCCTGGCACAGCAGCCTCTTTTTTGGGGGTGGGGGACATGGTGACACATCCCTTTGCTGGGGGTGTTCGGGGAAGGGACACTGGCTGGTTGGTGGCACAGGTTTGGGACTGGGGGCAGTTCTGCCTGGGGCAGGGTGGGTCTGTCCTCTGGCACCGAGCAGGGACATGGTGGCAGGTGGGATGCTGTGGGGACAGACACGTGGTGTGTGACAAGGACTTGGTGCTGGGGGTGGAGGCAGCCCCCCCCAGGAGAGGGAGGCCCAGGCAGGGGCATCTCAGCCCTGTGGAAAGCATTTTGGGGAAGCCGGAGCGGAGGGCTGGGACCTGGCTGTGACAGCCAATGTGTCACCCCCAGGGCCAATCTGTGTCCCCCAAGGCAGGGACAGCCAGGTTTCTCCCCAGGATCTGGGGAACTTGCTTCCGAAACATCCTTTTTTCCTGGTTTGTTTTTAACCAGAAAAGTAGTGATTTGAGGAAACCAGACACTTGTGGTTTTCAGTGCTACCTTTGCTCCCCTGGACAACGTTGGCCCAGCCACCCATGTGGTCAGAAACACTTTGGCCTTTTTCGACCGACTTTGTATTTTCCCTTCCAAGCAGCTCTTTACTTTGCCATTTCAGTTAATGTTAGTTAAAAATATACGCATAGGTCAAAGCCGACACAGACCAGGCAACTGTCCTGTATCCACAAGGATTATTCTGGGGGTGAGGGAGGGTGCGAGCACTGTGGATGCTACCTTGTCTATTGTGGGAGTGCTTGGGTTGAGGAGCCCTCCTGCCCATCCTGGTGCTCACAGCTGGTTCTGGCGTGAGTCCTGCCCTTCTCACCCTGCATAGGGATGGGGGCCCCCATGCATCCCCTGTGCCGTGGGGATGCATCAGGCTGGCTCTTTGCACCCCTATCAGTTCGGATCCCATTCCACCTCTGGGGTCCTGTGCCCCGTGGCACCAGGACCTCCACCCAGGTGACCACAGCCCTGCCAGCGCGGAGGGGGCAGAGCAGCCCTGTGCCTGGCTGGGCAAGGACAGGGAGGCTCCCATTTCCACTGGAAATGCTCCATTTTTAAAGAAAACCCACCTACCTCCAAGAGCTGGTGATTTAGAGCAAATCGTCATTCTGGGGGAGGGTGGGAAAGAAGGCCAGAGCTGCGCTGTGCTGCTCCATGCCCGGAGAGGGTGGCAGGACCCCTTCCCGTGCGCATCCTGGGGCTGAGCTCCCACTCAAGGCGGGCTTTGTCTCCCCAAACCTGCAGCATTTAAAGGACTTTTGAGACTCAAAACCTCCCCGTGGACCAAACCACTCCTGGTTACTCAGTCCCAGCTCCAGGGAGGTCTGGAGCTGTGGCGGGGAGCCAGACCCCGGGAGGAAGGAGTTGGCCTGTCCCCAGGCAGGAGCAGGCAGGATGCGACGAGGCTGGTGGCTCGGGCGCCACGCTGCTCTCCTTCCCTTGTTTTTTCTTCTCTTTTTTTCCTCTTTCTCTCGAGAGCTGGCTCAGACGATGCAATTACAGCATTGAAACCTGAACAAGCAAATAAAAGGGATTTGTCTGGAGTTGGCAGCGGTGCAAAATTCCTGCAGCCGGTGAGGCTGGGCCAGC